ATATACATATGTATCATATCATATATATATATATATATACATCATTTAATACTTTATATAGATATAAATAGTTTTAAAAATATATTCTACTGTATAGCAAACACATATATATGTATTTAGGTAAAGAATTTATTGTTCTATTTCAGGCGGGCACACACTGCAAATACGGTAGTCTGCCGACACAATTCCATGGAGACGACGATACCAGGGAACAGTTCCCTGACGATACGACGATACGTGCAATGGATCGTTTGACAATAATGACAATACGGCAACCAGCAGCAAACTGCGCCGCAAAGTCAAGCGCTCACAGACATGGAGGCCGGGCGGGTGGATTTGTCGGCCGACGGTACGATGCAGTTCATGCCCGGCTGACAAAGACATGAATCTGGATTTGATTTGAGGTGTTTAATAACATTTGTTATAATAATTCTTCTTTCTCAATTAGGAATGTTTTTTTTTTCATTTCCAAATTGTTATACAGAGAAACCACACTCGGTTGAAAAAGTACTTATATACATTACAATATAATTAACAATAATTGCATTTTATTACAATTTTATATCATTTAAATTTACATTTATTTAACACAATTATAAAAATTACTCTTAACGAAGCTTATATACTACTGTTTGAACAACAAAGAAATTTGAAATTAAAACAAATTTCATGAATAGTAATTCTGTAATACGTAAAATAAAATTTGTCTCACTGCTTTAACAAAAATGCGAATACAAATATTATCTGTATAATACCGACGCATATGCCTAATGTTCAGAATCTAAAAAGTAATGAGACAGAGAGAAAAAGTTTGGATTCACCAATATACTATGGTAATAAAGTAGGCCTATATAATGATATTGAAAAATAAATATATGTTTCAATACTATATTAATATAATATGATCTGGATGCTTGTTTTTATCATTCTGATTATATTTTAAAGTAATAATGTAGTAATAATCTTTCATTGATAAAGCTGTTTCCATACAATCGCTACACGCTATCGCCGATAGCTTTCTGTGATGCTGATTGGTCGGTCCAATCGAGGAGCCTTCCCGATTGCGTCGGGGATTGCTGCGCAGTAGGCCTAACGATTAAACTGAAAACAAGGTAGCGACAGTGTAGCGATTTTAAAGAAACCAGGCTTATGCAAGGGACGCCAATTCCATTCTTGCTCCGGGCACCGAAAACCCTAGTTATGCCAATGCTTATTACACTATATGTTTTGGTTGTGTGACGCTTTATATATTGCATAAACCAATACTCCTGAACTTGAGGTACATATTCAATAAAATACGCTTCTCTATCTGGAATGTACCGGATTTGCACATTTTTGAATTTACACTGCACTGGATGTGTTCTCCGTAGAAACAGTCTCATTTTTAACCGTATCAAAATCTCCTACAACAGCAGCTTTATTATTACAATGTGCAATAGGAACACCTGACGTTCGCGTACCAGGTTCATTTCCATCGATGACAAAATAGACGGCGTACAACTTCGACAGAAATAAGCAAACCAGAGTCGTTGACGCGTTGCAAACAACAGCAATAGACAGAATTGCGACGCGTGTCACAGGTTCCGTAACGACGAAATATGACGGAATAAACGCAACGAAGATAAACATCGTTGTGTAAACGATAACACCTATGAACTTTGTCTCTTTAAAGTTATCAGGCAGTTTACGCGTTCTGATGGCGTAGTAGCAGCACAGACCAATCAGAATGAGGTTGTACATTGATGACGTAATAATTTCCCCTTGTTGAAAGTTACAGCTAAGAGTAACTTCACGTTGATACAGCACGGGGTTGTGTTTCTCTGCACGGGGCGCTTTGATGGTTAACCACATGATACTTATAACCAACTGAAACATAACAAATAATTGTTAACACTATCATCAGAGTTAGCACGAGTTAACATAGACTTGCCACAAGTCTCTAATTTCTTGATTTTTCGTAATATTAGTACATTTCGGAAAGCGCCACCAGCGTCAGTTTATGTCGAGAAACTTTTTTGATGCGAATTAGATCCAATTAGATGATCCTAATCCAACAGAAAGTATACTATGTAACGCCAAGCAAATAGGTATTATGGAACGCCATTGGTGCCAAAATCGATTTTTCCAGCTTTTTACTGATTAAGACAAAGTTTAGGGACTGGAACCCAGTCTAGAGTTAACAGTGGTGTATCAGGTGTGTTGAAAGGAAACCGTGTTCTCTCTCAGCAAATACGCAACGTGTGTTGTCCGCACTACCACCACTGTGTGATGGTGATACAGAGATTTCGCAACCTTACGAAAATGATAACGAATACGTCATTATCATTATCGTCATTCATGCCTAAAACATTTTTGACAATATGCTGTAAGAGCTGAATATGATGCTTGATTCATGTAAAATGTATGAATAGCCTACCTTGGGACAGATGGGCAACTGTAGGGAAGGGTTTTCTAAAAATGTGATGACGTATCCGTATTCGTTATCGCTTTTTGTAAGCTTGCGAAAACTTCTTGATGGTGCATAAATAATAATATTATTATTATTAATAATAATAATAATAATAATAATAATAATAACAATAATAATGTTGCAGTATGCTGTTGTGTTGTTGGATAATGATAATGATGATAATAATGATGATGGTGACAATGATGATGATAATAATAATGATGGTGGTGGTTGTTGTTGTGGATGTTGTTGTGGTTGTTGATGAGGAAGATGATGTTGAATATTTTGATGGGGATGCCAATGACGACTATAGACGACGATAATAATATCAAAAATAAAATAGCTAAAGCATTTATAAAGGCCTGTTTTTACTTCAACGATAACGATAAAAAAAAGGTAAAAAGACAATTGTTCATATAGAAAATAAAAGAAATAAGAGAAGTTTGTACACTAGAACGAATCGATAACGATTTATCAGTTATGCGATAACAACATATTTTTACAAATCAAATCAGATGACGTCATAATCATGGAAAAACATTGAAATCGTAGTAGTAGCAACGATTATATCGTTTTTCCATGATTATGGCGTCATCTGATTTGATTTTTAAAAATATTTTGTTATCGTATACACGACAAATCGTTATCGAATCGTCCTAGTGTAAAAACTTCTCTTATTTCTTTTGTTTTCTATATGAACAATCGCTTTTTAGCTTTTTGATCGTTATCGTTATCGTTGAAGTATAAACAGGCCTTTAAGTGCCAAAAACTGATCTGTGACCACTGAGCCTTTTTTTTTTTCAAAACCCAAACAGTCTCATCCACTATAACAGGACGTGTCCAGTGGGCTATAGTAGTGTATTCAAAATGGATGGGTTACAAAATCATACTAGTACACTTATTTGTTTAAATGGCAACATGGGCCATTGTAAAAAGTTGTCAAAGGCCACCTGATTGTGCTTAGAATAGCCAGAGTTGGTTAAAGTTGAAGGAACGAAAATAATGGTAGAGGGCGCTAACTTATGTACAGCAAAACTTACCTGAACACTGATAAGAATAATAGAAAACAGGACCTGATATGATGCTGCGATGTACTTAGGTTTCTGTGGTGATTTCTTGGCTAAGTAGAAAATACGGTTAATTCTGAAGACTTTGACAAGTAGAGGCGCGTAGATCCAGGTAAAGGTGATAATGAGGCCAATTCTCGCAACACCACACACACTAGTACTTGGTTCAGACACGAAGAAAAACACCATAACATACGACAAAATAACACCAAGCATAATGATGAACATTGTCTCGCGTCCAGAAGCTTTGATTAATGGCTTATTACGAAGATATATATACATTACCGAAGTAATCAAGGAGATGGTCAAACCAAGGGACGTCAGGAACAGGAATGCTATTGCGGCAGAATCGCTCTTGTGCAGAAACGTTGGATCTACCAGTTCACAGCTTGTCTGGTTAACATCTGGCCAGTGGAATTCTGGGCACGCGAGGCAGGCTGTACCATTAGCTGAGGTAATTTCATAGTCATGACACTTAGAACACTCCCAACAGCACTGAGGATTGTCATTATGCTCTCGGGTCACGTAGCCAGCCAAGCAGGTTGAGCTGCAATATGATCGTGGTACATGATCGAATGGCCACTGTATGTCTTCATCAAAGAGAGATAATTTTGTCTCATTTTGTGAATTCCATTGTCCAACAACTATTGAATCAAATTCATTGCCGTCTTCCTGAATATTCTCGATGACGTAGCTACCCATGAAATCTCCATTTTCCATAAATTGTATAAAACCTCTTGTGCCACGAAACGACGTCTTAAGAATATTTGTATGGAAATCTCCAACAATGGCACTAATATCATATCCTTCATTGATTTTGTCGTATTTTCCTTCAAGTGTGGTGTTAAGCGCGAGTGCCATCACATTTACCGCGTCCATAACGATAGCTGCCCACGTGTTCAAGCTGAAATTTGCGCTTTTGGTGCGATTCAACTCAGCACACATGCTTTCTATCGCATCACGTTTGCAGCCATTAACAATCGTTTGTAGGAATGGATTTTCAGTTGAACTGACGTTGTCCTCGGCAGCTTTAGCAACTTCATTTATGTGTTTATCGAAAGAGGGCAGTCTTTGGGAACTGTACGGGTTCAGAAAAAGAGATCCCTTTAAAAGACCAAAATAATCGGGGTTTGATACTAGCGAAATGGTTGCATCACTGCCAATCATGGTATAACTTCCTATTAGATTCCTCCTCTTCATACCATCCAGGAACATCTGCGAAGCTCTTGGCAAAGAAAATAGGATCAAAACTTCGACATGACTTTGCTTTTCGATTTGTCGAATTGCACGGTCGATTTCCACATTTGTCGCAGATTCCGAAATGCCAACTATTGCTCCAAGACAGAACTTGTCATTTGTATGGGACCTGTCGATAAGCTCATTGATCCCGTGCTCCCCATAATCCTCATTTGAATAAACAGCGGACACATATTTCCATTTGAAGTGCTCAATAATATCAATCATCGCACCGATTTGAAAACTATCTGATGGCACGAGGCGCGAGAAGAATGGAAATCGGTTGCTGTCACTCAATTCATCGCTCGATGCAGATGCGCTTATGTGAGGCACTTGATAGAAACTGAACAAATGATTGGTTGCTATAGTAACCTTAGTGTACTCTGGTCCTATTACTCCAAGGATAGGTGGTGTATCACATTTTTCCATGTTGTATTGCGTGCTACCGGGACAACAGCTCGTGCGTTCAAGTCCAAGCAAATGTAGTGACGAGGCTAATCCAAACGACTCCTGGCCACAATCATCGTAGATTGAATAACCCAAAGTTAGATTTGGCAGAATGTTTGTGTTGTTATTTATTTTCTCAATTGCGTAGATCATGGCTTCTATTCTCCCCACTGCTCCATGCAGGTCATTCAATGTACTACAGTTACCGTCTATTTCCTGGTAAAAAGAAAACAATCCGCCCAAAACGACGTCACCTTTTTTAAAATAGTGCGTAAAACTGTTGTTGGCATTACGACTTACTGAGCCCACGCAAAAACTACGTGCACAAATTATAAAAATAACCGTCACGTGCATGCGCAGATGTGCAAGTCTATATCGATCCTCCATGGTAGAAATTTTAAACAGTGCTCACTCTGTAATCTGCAAAGAATATCAAGAAATGAGTCAAACATTTGAAGTGTAGCAATAGCAAATCATATTATTTTTGTCTAATCACTGGTTTTCCCCAATTCAGTTGTTGTCTGCCCATCTTAATATAATACCAGCTATTTATAAAATATTCATGATAGGTCTAATCCAATGGCTCAGTTATTCAAATCAACGTCCGGATTTTTTTACTAAGATCAACTCGAAGGTTAATCTATTGTTAAGTACATTATGATTCATGATGGCGAATTCCATCGTATTTCAATATTCAATATTCAGGATTTCTTTTATGTTTCTTTACATATTTTGGCGGGAGAAATACATTAAAAATATTCGATAAAAATATTTACACATTTCTGTATAAACATGTACAAATTTGAATGTGTACCATCAAGAAGAAGATGTTAGATAAGCTTAAATAAGTAATAAAAGTGATTACAATAAATATTATTACATTATTGTCAATAACAATAGATGCTTGCGGTACACCACGAAGATAGTTCTGAAAATAAATACGTGGTGAACCGTAAGCATTTATTATTATTATTACTAATGCTGCAATTATAATTATGCTAAAATGAACAGTTAAGTTATTCCTTTTAGTGTCTAAAGAAATATGAAAGTTTAGGTAGGCCTTTCTGTTTTACATTGTGACAGAACACAGCAATACAGTTGGGCCATTTTGCTATACCTTTTCTATCATAATCGCCATCGTCATCGTCATCATTTTCGATTACAGTATATTGATGCCTATTAAATAATTTTTAAAAATTCACAAAATTTCGTCAAATATTAGTAGCTTTAAATCATCATCATTATCATTATCAACGTCATCATCATATCATGCATCATCATGCCATCATCATCATAGTCATATTATCATTATCAACACCATCATCTTTCCCTTCTTTATCATTATCATAATAATTGTTATATTATTATTATGTTGTTGTTATTGTAAGTATATTTATATGTAGTTGTTGTTAGTTTAGATTTATTTACTTGTAGTATTCATATAACTTGATTACTGGGGCTTACTGCGACTGTTTGTCCATACACAGTTTCTGCTTTCATATCACACATCTAGTTAGATTTCTGATTACCATCTGTAGAATAGAAAATAAATACAAAATCAAAACATATTTGTGACATGATGTGTTGCACCAATAAGTCTGCAATTTGCGAGTTCTGTATCATTTGGAAATATGGAAACTATTTTAAAATACCATGAAATATGAACAACCAATGGACAGTGTAATCCCTTCTTGGCTTCATGGTCACTAATAATTAATTCAGAATCACCATGGAGGAATTAGTTTAGAATCACACTATGCTTTTTGTATGTATGAATTCCTGACAAACCTACCTTCTGGAAACAGATTTTACAGTAGTTTAATCAAAACATTATTATTATTATTTTACCATTTATTCAACTTACAAAAATACAATTTCTCAAAATTGTTCACAAATAAATTAATATATATATATATATGTACGTATGTATATATATATATATATATATATATATATATACATACGTACATATATATATATATATTAATTTATTTGTGAACAATTTTGAGAAATTGTATTTTTGTAAGTTGAATAAATGGTAAAATAATAATAGGTAAACTTAGTTAAAGGTTTATATATTTTTATATGGTAATTTTGAATTGTGTACATAAAAATTATAATGTGTATAACTAATTAAGGATTTATTTTTTGATATTTAGAATTTATATTTTTTCGACAGCAACTAATAGTACCTCAACTTTTAATTGGAATTGTTATAGTTCTGTGGTAATTTTAATGTATAATAACAATCAATCTTAATCCCCCTTTTTTTCTTAATGTATTTATATATTTTAATATTGTAATGCAATCAAATTCAGCTATTTGCTGTCTATTGTAAATTACATTATATATGGAAATAAAAAAAAATATTTACAGAACTATGCATTGTGTACCACAAGTTTATTCACAGTTCACCCCTCTATCAAGATCACCTTTGGGACCTGAAAATTTGAGGTGGTCTCATGGTTCGGCTAAGATTGGTCTCTAAACAGCATTTAAAGGGTAATCGAAACGGAAAATAATCGTCTAAATGGAGAATAGAGGTTTATCAAATCCAAAACCTCAAAGATCGAAGCTCCTTGCCTTGCTGAGACACTAGGGCCCATAAGGCTCGAGCTTATCTCCAGTTTCTAATTTAACTGTTCCCTAGTAATACTCACCCGGGGTGGGATGCTGGGTCACTGCACGCTACTCCCAGCAACTTGCTGGTACCGCTGGGTAGACTGAAGCAATGTAGATAAAGTGCATTGCTGAATGACACAAACGAAATACACCGTAAAAATTATGGAAACCCCTACCTCGAGGTTGGGAACCAAACCATTCCCGCTGCGCCAAACCGCTTCCATAAGACCGAACCTACCTCAAAGTGGTCTTTTGAATATTTATTTCCTTTAAATTTTGATTATATGTTGGATTTCTAAATGATTGAATCATTAAAATATGTCTACAAATCCCAAGGACTAAAATGCACTGGCATAGCAGGCCACACAATATAGGCACATTTATCTGTTAGATTTCTGATGAGGCCAAGAAATTCGAGAAAGCTGTTAACACTGGCATTTAAACCAGAGGGGTACCAGTGCAGTGGCGGCTGTAGGTTATAGGCCTATTTGCTTTTGGGGGAGGTGAGGCTCTAAGCTATCCGACACGGAGGGCTAAGTGAGATAAGGATAACTTTGGTACGCAGCGCCATCCAAAGGCTGAACACTCTTGTAAACAATGCTAGAGTTCTAAAAATCGGCCGGAAAGTGATTTATTTTTATCAATGTTGCGCGGGCCTGATCAAAATCTTTCGTGGGCCGGAGTTGGCCCGCGGGAGGGGGGGGGGGTTGAATACCGGGGTTGTAGGTGATCAGTTGGTACTCTAAAAAAACTTCTCGGAATTAGAAGGGTCTCGAATCGGGGTGAACTGTATGGTTTATCGCCATGCAAACCTTTAAACATGATATAATTAACTATACACAATTAAAAAACTAAACCTTTAAATATCACTAACTACACACACACTTCAAAAACAATATACCGGATTTTCAATTTTTTTTTTCTTGGTTCAGGCTGCCCCCACACTCAGCACTGTCACTGCTACTCAGTGTCGTAAAAATTCAATGGCTATACCCAGTAGCCTTAGACCTTAGTGTCCCCAGGATATTCATTAGAATTGTTCCCCAAGTCGTCGGCAGAGCGGGGCCTTAATGAGGAGTAAACGACCGTCAAAATACTCTTTGCGCTGTACCCTTACTGGACTCTTACCTATCGGGCCCGGTCCCAATATGGTAGGGCCCGAAGAAGCCTTCACCAGGCGCTTCGGACCTTTTCGTTTCCCCACTGCTCAGCTGCTACTATTTAATGTCCTTATACCTTTGACAAAGACATACCAGCACTAAATTTAAGCATAACAATGCATAATAATATATGTGAAAACCACATTACAATAAATTGCATGTAAAGCAAACAAAAACCGAACAATGGTGAAATCTCTATCTATTCAATTCCTTTAAATGAGTAAACAGATATAGTCCTATCTTGGAAGTCACAAATTTCTTTTCAGAGAATTGAGATGCAAATAAGTTGGAGCAAAATGTAAAGCAAAATGGCGCAGTCGACGCCGTCTGCTGCTCTGATTGCTGGTTTTCTGGTGACAGATTGAGGGGATTGTCCCGAAATGATCCTTTCTCCCTACATAGAATCGGATGTCGCTTTAAAAATGCAGTGAAAACAGTGTAGCGACAATGTATCGATTTTATGGAAACCACGAATGTACCGTAAGACTAGAGCTATCTCAACTTCCGATATCGTCAATGTATTTTTCCGCTAAGCTGGCTCCTTGGATTTCGTTGATAAGGTTCCGCAAAACGCTACCGTACAATCCGCAAACACACATTTGTGGGACATGCGCATATTCTCCGGACCGTTTAAACATATTCTGATTGCTCGGATTATTAGGTCTTCTGATTGACATTCCTAAAAATGTCCCTTATGCGCGATTTGGAAACGGTAGATCGCGCGACGCATTGTCGATGTCGACGCGGTGTGGATGCGTCACTAGCATCGATATATGAAAATTATAAAATTCTGACAGTGCTATATATAGAATTCTATGAAGAACCAACAGTATTACTTATTAGGCCTATAGGCTTAACAAACATTGATTGTATTTTCATAACTTAACAATCCAATAATACACGGAACATTGCATTCTAGTAGATGTGGTCGTAGGAGGATTTTAATGTACTTGATCTCTATTCAACTAATATAATATCAATTTTAAAGCTATACCGAATGAGATTAAGTATGGAAAGAGTCATTCAAATATTAAATTAAAATGTAGTTGTTCCCTTAAAAAAATTAATAAAACAGAGATCAGAACAACGCATGCGCAGTACATTTTTTTTTTTTTTTTTCGGAAAAGAGAAGGAGATTGCCTCCCGGTGTAGGCCTACTGCTCAATCACCACCAGAAACACCACACCTGAAATAATTCAACGGACTTTGGTGTGTTATTGGTGTTTCACACCGAATAAATCCTTCCATTCATTCATTCGACCAGCGTTATCTAATTAATTGATATTAAATATATTTATAGGCTACGGTACATAGCCTGAATTTGAAAAGGCACACTGCAGTTCAGAAAAGGAGAGCCCAGCCGAAATCAGATTACCAAAAACAATGATGAAACATAATTCAAATAAGAGTAACAGACGATTGGAATGCTACTAATAATGTAAGGATCAGCGGTCATTATGCGTATCGAAAGTGATACGGCAATGCATTAACCGAAACAATTGAGTAAATGATGTTATAAGATACCGTACGCTATCAAAATAAAATGTATTAATATGATCAATTCTCTGTCCACAGCATGATTTTTTATGTGACAAATCGTCGCTCACACCACGAACTAACACAATTAAATTCAATTGTGTTAGTTCGTGAAATAAAAAAAGCGCATCAAAATACGCGCTATTGTCGTTAAGGACTTTTTGTGTGGTAAAGAATACAAAATTGCTTGACAACCAATACGCGCTCGTTTTGACGCGCTACTGTGATTTTACGAACTAACAAAATCTACTTTGATTGTGTTAGTTCGTGATGTGAGCGACGAAATATGTATGTGATGAGTTCATGGGTTATGAACGTCATAGTGCCCATTTAATGTATGTGCAAGTCACATAAATTTGTGGCATAAAATTTGATAGTGTATGGACAGATCTTAAGACATTAAATAATAATATGCCCTGATCCAAAACTAACACAAATCATTAGCAAAACAAACAAAAGACTGTTGACTACGTTTGACATTAGGGTTCGTTCAACATTATCAACATTTTCACAAGTGTAAAAACAGTACGCTGGAGGAGGGGTAGACAAATTTGTACACTTTTACATATGCATAAAAATGTTAATTCAAAATAACCTGTCTATAGTATGTAAAATAATGGTAAAATTATAATGTAACTATGGATATAATATTAATTTTTAAGCAACCAAGTACATTGCTTTAGTTGACTTCATAAAAAGTGGAGAATGGTTTTGCAAAATCAACATTTTTTGTAGCCTACACTTTCAGAGGGGAGGGAGGGGGTACGGTACCGAAAAAGAGTACTGTTTGTACACTTGTGAAAATTTTGATGATTGTGAACGACCCCTTACAGTACGTACATTAGGTTTGTTGTGAATTTTGAATTTGAAATTTCAAAGCAAGAAAAAAATTATATAAACTTCAGAGAATCAATAACGCTAAAATATTATTAATATGAATCACCACAGAGGAATAGAAACTATGTCCCAATCCAATAAGCAACACACTTCCTCATACTTTATTTGTGTTATTTGAGAGTAGGTCTTGTCAAGTCGGGAAAGCATACAAAACTATTCATGCCTGAAAAAATAAAACATCAAAATCTCTAGTGCCATACGATCAGTTGTCCACGATTTATAGAATACGTAGTGCCTTGAGGCTTGCTTGAGAGTTGTTGATTTAACAGTATTTATATTATTATAATACCTGTGTATAGTCAATACATTCCAAACAGCCGTGAACAACTGTACAAATGTCGTGGCAAATAATTACGGTTATTTATGTATTCAGCCTATTTTAAGGAATCGGAGCGGTATTTTTATATTCATAAGTGTGATGTACTCAGTATCGTCCTTTTAAGGCGAATATTTTTTACTATTCCGGGGCGGATCCAGTGCGGGAGTGGGGGAAAATGGGCTTCGGTTTCCGAAAACAAGTGAAACAAGAGAAAAAAAAAGGAAGAAGAAAGAGGGGTGTACGGTAGGGCCCTACTTTAAAACAAGCTTTTCGCGTTAAATTCCGTGTACAGTACAACTACCAGTGTCTATGCCCAAAGCATTTATAAACAAAGACTCATTCACTGCCAACACCACACCGCTCATGTGCTCATCCTCGTCTCCTCGCGTTCCTCTGAAAATTTGCTGGGCAAAAACCGCTTAAGTAGTTAAAAATGGTCGAATCGAGTGTCCTTTCTGTGGACACACCGACGTTAATTTTATAACCTCTTTCGCAATTTGATGACGCTCCACGTTAGAAATACATTAAAACATGAATGTACCGTACATCCGCTTGCTTCCAGCAATGTGCACTCTCTGAAGGACATAAACCTAATCAATAAAAAGGGGGTGATGAACTATAAATGATTTACAGTTAATTATTTTACTTTCCTAAACCTCACTAAATGCACTCCGTATTCGTATACTTTGTGTCGGTGAAGATGACATTAAATAAAGTGCAATATTGAACACATTTATATAAACTCTAAAGGAAGTTAATGAATAAATTCACTAATTTACTGTAAATATAATTTCAAACAGTGTTCTGAATATACAAACTAATCAATGAATGTGATAGGGACAGGTGTAAACGAGAGCAAGTACAATCAGTACTGTCGCAAAATTTGGTGTTTTATTGTCAGGTGATTAATCACCTGCCTTGATACTTTTGTTGTGTTTATTAGTGATGATGCTTTTTAAGTATTTTGTAGTCTTGTTTCTGGGTTAATCGATACGTGTGACGTGGACCTGTCTAGCTTTCCAATAATAGTATCATTTAGATTCACAAACTTGTCCCCAGCATACTTTTTAATAATGATGCTAATATTAATGGTAATATGTATACCAGACCTATCAACATATCTATTTATATATTTCTAAATAAAAAATAAAATATATAGAGTATATCGGGATAGCACTATACACACACACACACACACACACACCCACCCACCCACCAACCCACACACATATATATCTGTCTCTTATACACATCTAGATGTGTATAAGAGACAGGTGTGGATGCGTCACTAGCATCGATATATGAAAATTATAAAATTCTGACAGTGCTATATATAGAATTCTATGAAGAACCAACAGTATTACTTATTAGGCCTATAGGCTTAACAAACATTGATTGTATTTTCATCACTTAACAATCCAATAATACACGGAACATTGCATTCTAGTAGATGTGGTCGTAGGAGGATTTTAATGTACTTGATCTCTATTCAACTAATATAATATCAATTTTAAAGCTATACCGAATGAGATTAAGTATGGAAAGAGTCATTCAAATATTAAATTAAAATGTAGTTGTTCCCTTAAAAAAATTAATAAAACAGAGATCAGAACAACGCATGCGCAGTACATTTTTTTTTTTTTTTTTCGGAAAAGAGAAGGAGATTGCCTCCCGGTGTAGGCCTACTGCTCAATCACCACCAGAAACACCACACCTGAAATAATTCAACGGACTTTGGTGTGTTATTGGTGTTTCACACTGAATAAATCCTTCCATTCATTCATTCGACCAGCGTTATCTAATTACTATGTACATATTGATATTAAATGTATTTAGGCTACGTAGCCTGAGTTTGAAAAGGAACACTGCAGTTCAGAAAAGGAGAGCCCAGCCGAAATCAGATTACCAAAAACAATGATGAAACATAATTCAAATAAGAGTAACAGACGATTGGAATGCTACTAATAATGTAAGGATCAGCGGTCATTATGCGTATCGAAAGTGATACGACAATGCATTAACCGAAACAATTGAGTAAATGATGTTATAAGATACGCTATCAAAATAAAATGTATTAATATGATCAATTCTCTGTCAACAGCATGATTTTTTATGTGACAAATCGTCGCTCACACCACGAACTAACACATCATAGATAGCCTAATCTACTTTATTATAATTCCTGTATATTCAAATACAACGTTGACTATCAGAACATAACATTTTAATACCAGTACTTCGAACGTGTTCGAAATATTTGTCTTGATTTATGTTTAAAGAAACGACCAACGTTCATTAAAGTTGTATTGCCAAACGATCTACCTTTAATGTATAAGTGGTTATACGTTTTATAGGCCTTCAAAATATTGGTAACAGACTAAACATAGGCCTAGTATAAATCGTTGACTGTTGGAACAAGAACAATGTTATAGGAATAAGTCAGAAGCAGATGATTAAGTAATGAAGCCCACAGAGAGTCGTTAAACTATTCGTTAAAAAATAATTTTGCAAGTGTCAACAAATGATATTTAATAATTTAACTTGAAACATAGGTTGAGTCAACTTTAGACTGGGGACTGGGGCTCTCTGTCGAGAGCAAAGTAGGCGTACTGTTACTATCGGCCAATGCATCGAGAACGTTACTACTGCAAGTCTATCGGCAAAATGCTATGGATCAGAAATTTGCGTTAGCGTTTAACATTGACTGTTGTTTATAATTCATAAAAAGTAAACGATTGAAGAAGCTACCGTACCTAATTGTTGTTTTTGTATTTTTTAAAGCAAAATGTTAGCAACAAGGACGAAAGACTTTTCCTGTTTCACATGGTATAATTTGGCAATCCAGTTTATCCGGTCAATAACATAGACAGTGACACATGATTTTCTAGACATGGGCGGATCCAGCCTGTTAGGAAGGGAAGGGGGAGAGAACGTGCGAGCGAAGCGAGAGTCACCTTGGGGCAGATCAGCTGGTGGAAGTGCAAATGGGGGAAAAAAAGTAAGTCGCAATATGGGAGTTGAGTTTAGTCACAAAAGTGCTGTCACTTTGACAGGACTTCAACCCTGGAACCTGTGATTAGAAAGGTAAGAAAGTAAGCAGTATACTTTGATGCCTTGTTAGGCCTACTTTCACCTTAATTGTTTTATAATAATAAAGTAATTTCCTGTATACATACCGCGGTTGTATCCAATCAACAATAATTTATTCAATGAAGTACAACAAACATTAATATAATTAGAATGTGCTGTAGATTATAATCTACACATACCTATTTATACATCTTCTCTCCAATTGACCCGACACTGTTCCTCCTTCTACCGACCTTAATAATGTTGATAGGCACTTCCCTGTATTATAGGCCTAGTAGAAAACAACGACGACAAACCAAGGCTAGGACTAAAACAACACAGTGTATCCTGTTATTGTTTGAAAACAATTGACTTGCGTAACCGAGAGCCTTATTTATAAGCTATGACGATAAATGGCATGCGACGGATTGGTTCCACTAGCCTGCTCCGATCAGCGCTCCGACAGGCGTAATGTAAATCTGATAGGTATAAAAGCCTTTATGTAAAGCAGTCAGTTATAAGGACCAATTACACAGCAGCATTGGTGTCTAGAGTTCTAACCCTAACCCACCACCTTAGCGAGCGAGCTTGTGGTGCACACCCTTGAGCGAAACGTCAACGGAACAGAAAACTGAATTTGGTATGTTGTAATATACTGTACAATCAAATAATTTGAAACGCATGGGCGAGCAGCACTCTTGCAGATAATTCGCCAAAAAAGACACATTAACTATTGGTTATTATTATAATTTCCATATACGGACCCGGATATCGGGTCATACAGTTATCGATAACTGTTTCTATTGAGTTAATAAAGTAAAACAAAAATATCGAAACAAGACATGGTATCTTGATTCTTGATATTTCAAAGGCTGATCCAGTCTGTTATGAAAATATATATATATATATATGGAAACTTAAAGCCGATAATATAAAATATGAAATTAAATGGAAAATATTAGGTAAATGCAAACCATACTCCAATATCAGTAAACGTTGTAATCTGTGTTTGCTTGAGAAATATTTTATTATATGTAACCCTGAATTAAGCTCACTTAACCGTAGGAATGAATTGACTAGTGCATGTAGGCATAGAAGAAAATTT